CATAGAGGCCCCCGCAGCTACGACATCAAGATCATTGCCGGTCCTCCCGAGTCGCGACGTCACTCGTTCGTCACCTCTCACGATCCACCAGAAGTACCATCAGTTCTCATCAAATATTCTCTGCCATCAATACACGAAGAAAATGACGTCGCCGGTAATCGAGATTACCAGCAACCGCTTCGCACAGGATTTCTATTCTAGCCATTACCGATTCATCATCAAATTCTCTGTACAGTTCCTCTTTATTTTTTATATTTTATTGTCTGTTGAATTGAGTTGTGATGATCCTAGAAATGGAATCATACATTAATTCTGATTAATCGTACAGAGAATGAAACTATTTCAGTATTTCAGTTACTGGATCTCTCTCTGTGTTCTCTAATTTAATTTATCCTATGAAAATAAATTTGCTTTACAGAACATAAGAACAACGAAGAAGAAGAAATCGAAGAGGTAAACTCAAGGATTATAATGTCATTCCCGATGCAATTCACATAGCATATCGTGAAAACAAATCAAACAGATGATAGAATTCAACGATTGAATCGACAATCGATGTAATCTAAGAATAGAAAATATCTCCAATGCGTGACACTTCTTCACTCACTAGCTTCTCCTCTTCACTTGCTCCTCTTCTCTTATTCACTTGCTCCTCTTCTTTGTTTCCTTCAACTGATTTTTCAAAACTCCAAAACCCCTAAATTATCTAACACTGAGGCTTATATAATCTTAAGAACGTCCATTCCCGCCCTCTCCCGTTTCACTTTAACGAAATTTTAAAAAGCAAGTTGATGCACTAAATGAATGAGAAATGTGACTGCCACTTGTCAACGTGTGATTGGAGCTAATTTTGGAGAGCGTAGGAAATGTGAGTGAAATGGCGCCATGTGGGGGTGGATTTTAGGAATGGAGTATGGCATACAGAGTTAGAAAAGGTGGAAAAAAAAAGGAAAGTAATTAACAAATGAAATAGAAAAATGTAATGGGACCATGGCATCTCCTGAGTGGAAACAATTTTTTTTTAAAGAAAAAAATACATGGAAGATAATGAATGTGATAAAAATTGTTGCGTTATTAACCTATGTTAAAAAAATTATTGAAGAAATAGAAAAATATTACAAGAAAATATATTGGCCACAAGGATAAGGAAAAAAAATGAGATAGGTTGTAAAAAGAGCCAAACTAACTTATGTGATTATCATGATTTTGATAAATAAAAAGTTTTCTCTTCCTCCTTTTTATCATTCTTTTTATTCTTTCTTCATTTTAAATTTTAAGTTTTCTAATTTTTTAAATTTTTAATTTTTGTTTAAATTTTTTAAATTTATTATTTCTCGTTTTTTCTACGTATAGTTATTATTTATTTACTATATTTTTATTATTTTTTTCTTAAAAGAAACTATTTAAATCTCTATTTTTTAAAAATCATAAAAATAAATTTTAAATGATCAGGATGAAATTATGTTTAGACACCTATTTATATACTGTAAATTTGTTTAAAAAATCTCTACCTTTTTTAAAACCATAGAAATAAATTTTAAATGACCTGGATGAAATTAGGTTTTGACACCTACTTATATACTCTAAATTTGTTTTATGTGTAGATGACGTGAGATTTTTACCACACCCTTATGTCGATACAAAATCATATATCTTGATAAATGTTAATTTCTGATGGATTTCTCGTGATGTGTCCATTGTATCTACCAGTGGATATATTCGTTGATAAGGTATATATGATTTAGTATCCATCGATAAGGTATATATAATTTAGTTTAAAAATGGATATAGCATGCCGGCAATTTGATCGATGATATAACTTAGGTTTTACTTCCCCCAATTCATTTTGCATGTTGCCCCCTTTGTTCCTTCTTTCCCTTGTACCGGTGAATGCCGCTTACTGTCGCGAGGAGGAGGTTGCTTCCCTTCCCCTGTGGTACGTTGGTTTAAGTTAGGTTTTCCTTCTCCCAATTCATTTTGTGCATCTATTCATTTGTTGTTTCACTGAAGCCCTCTTTGTTTCCCTGCATTGGTAGTGATTATCGCTGACTACCACGAGGAGGAGGTTGTTTCCCTTCCCCTACCTTATGTTGAGTGCCATGAAGAGGTCATGAATGTACGGTGACCCAGTCACGATGTCTTTTTGGTGTTGAAGGATCTTGATCTGCATGTTTATTATCATTGTCATTGTCAAGGGAGGTTACCTTCATGGAGGAAGGTTGTCTAGAGGCCTTACTGTCGAGGTATATTTTGTGTTTGTGGAATGAAGTCTCATGTTGTCTAGTTTAAGTTTACACAAGTGCTCTTGTAATTCCAATACAAAGTTATGTATCCTGATGTATAAATAGTTATAAACAAACAACAGAAAATGTACATGAATGTTGAAAGCCAAGCTGGTGTGTATAGCTTGAAGGCATAATGAAAACAATTAGGTATGTGGGATTGAATTATTGATATTTAATTATGGAAATCACAAATCATTTGATAATTGATTTGTGTTGTGCCACCATTGGACCCATTGACCCTTATATGGAAAGAGAATTAGTTTATGTAATCATTTATGGTTTCAAAGGTTATTAAACAATGAGATGAGGATATCCAAGCACTTAGTGCTTTGTAGGGGAAAATAGGAAAATCATATAAATGATGCATGGTGGGACTTTGTTGGCTTCTAATCTTAGCTAGGTCTATTGTGGGACATATCTCTGAAATTGTTATAAAGTAGTATACATAGGATGTGTGTTATTACTCATTGAATGATGAATTTTGATTCTTAGGACACGAGGATTCGATTGTGAACGCATAATGATTGAAAAACCTATGTATCATCTAAGTTTCGTTATTACTCATTTATGCAACTAAAAAGTTATTTGTATCATGTTTTTGTATCTCATGCTCAATAAACTCAATTATAACAAATCTTAATTAAAATATTCTTTTAAAGTACAAAAACCAAATAAGAATCCAATATTAAAAGTTAAATGAGGACATAAATATGCACTCATCAAAGAACGTATTACAATAATATATTTCTTGATTTCTTCTCTTCATGTAGTCCTCTTTATATAGACATCTTCGAAAAAAATTCATTACTCGAAGTTTTTTACTATCTTCTATGGATGTAGCCCTTAAGGTAAAGTCAGATGTTATATTGCGTCTTGGCAGAGCAACTGTGTTGTGCGTACAGAAAGAGGAGACATAAAGCATGTATTAAATATTCTTTGAATATCTTCCTATATCTTAATATTGTTTTGATTCTGAGCAAACTTTTTGATAAAGGTGAAAATTTGCACAAAAAATTATAGCACACCTCAACATACAAAAAAGTATTAGAAAGTACATGTTTTAAAGCGTTAAACAATCCTAAACATTTAGACATGATCTAAGTAATATCGTTTAACATAGTCTGTTTGAGTAACATTAAGTCTTTTAGAACATTTCAAATTATAGCATTTAACATTGAACATTTCAAATTATAGCATTTAACATTGTCTAGTATTTCGTTAAACACTATTTATTTTAGACACTCTATTATAATTCTCTATAATATTTAGCGCTTATTCTAGACACTAAACATTCTTTAGATGCTATTCTAATTAGACGCTCCTATATTGTTTAAGATACTTAAGATGTAACATTTAACACTTTTTATTTTTTATTCTAAATGATTAAATATTATTTCATTTAGATGTTATGTTAAACTTTAAAATAAGATTTGTTTGGACTATTTTGTCTAAAAAAATTATTTTAAATTGTATAATCTGAAAACCATTTTTACTTTAGAATTGTATAATTTAAAACATATTTTTAAATTGTACAATTTAAATTCAAAAGTCAAAAAACAACTTAAGATTCTGAATTCAAAAAAGACAAAAATGGGAAACAAAATATGAGGGTGCTGGAAAAACGTTACGGAGGTGCAGGATGAAACTGCCCTCACCCAAAAATCTATCACCCATTGATTGATTGAATTGCCACCAAAGTCAAGGTTTACAAATTTGTCAGAAATACCCTTAAATATTTGTGTCATCTTTAAATTTACGTAATATAACATTAATGATAACTTAAGACATTGCTTAAAGATAACAATAATATCTTTTCACTTTTATCAAATGAATACATACACATTAAAACTCTTTACTCATTTTTCTTCAATTCCATTATTAAAACAGCCTCATTGTTCATCTTTTCTTTTTCTTGTTCCGACTTTGACTCCCTTATTCCAATAAAGCCTTAGAAACGAGAATTAGATATTTATTTATAAAGTAATAATAATGAATGAAAATAATAATTTAATTAAATGAAGCATGAATAAATTAGATTCGCTTTAATACGTCTTTAATTAGATAATAAATAGATTAGTATATTATTTATCCCGAATCAGTAGGTACTTCGTCTATTAACGTCCAATGAGCATCAACTCAGATTACAATATGGCACTCTTAAATTATGGATATTATGATGCTGTTTCATTCGAAACTATCTTTACTCGCACGATTTCTTGGAAGCCTCAAATTTCTGAACCGTAAAAACATATAATGTAGATTTCATTCATCCTGAAATAGTTCGAATACATGGGATAGATGTCAGAATTAATGACAACTGGTTTGATAAATTAACAAGTGTCACTGTATTTTCATATTAAATTCCATTGACAAAATTGGACAACAACACACATCATCAGTATGTCTAAATGCTTTGGTACATTTACGTTGCCTCCGGTAGCTTTGAAATTTTCTTTGTACTGTGTTGATTCATAAATATACAATGTACATGGAACTTTTTAAAAACGTATTTTACATTAAAATAAAACAAGGTACAGTTTTTAAATCTAATAAGAGGAGAAAGATGACCATTATTCTCAAACAATCAATGGTTATCTCAAAATAATGATACTAGCAAACCTCAAAAGTTGCCCAGGACGCCAAATGTTACTGCATCTAATTTAAACTGGAAAAAGTCTCATCAGATTCAATAGAACTTGATAACACACTCAAATGTGACTCATGCAAGTAATTAAATAGATTGGATAACACTGAAATAGTAATTGAATATTTGCCTAGGGGTCGTTTCTCATTTGTAAAAAATGGTTCCATACTCCTGCACCCTAAGAAAATACCGAACTGAAACTGCTATACAATAAATACTGCAACTTTACTAGGTAATCCCACAAGAAAGGTTTATAAAAAAACCGATATAACATTAGTATATGAAAAGTGCACAAGGGATTAAACCAGAAATAACTCCATAGGACAATAAATATGACTATAGTCAGAGAGAACCAATAACTAGCCTTGGTAGCTTCACCTGCCGAGATAAGTTGATAACCACAAAGGGTGGCCATATGATCATCCCCTAAAGAACGCTTACATACTCCTACAACGCAAAAAAAAGGTAATATGACCATAATGTATTTTTCATTTGCCATCATCTTCCTCCCCCTCATCGTCATCCTCCTCACCCTCATCATCATCATCTTCAGAGTCACCGTCATCCTTCCCCTGCTGACAGGGAAATATACATTTTATAATACACCATATATATCTGTATATACTATCTCAATAGTAGTAAAGTGATTATAAATACAAAACCCAAAGGGAATAAAGCAATTGATAAGAGCAGCAAGACTAAATGTCAGTTCTGAGATCTGCATTTTCTACATGTAAACATATTCACAAGTGTACATAACACTGAATTGATACAAAATTAAAATCTCGATAGCACAACTAAGAGCATGATTTAATGACATTCCACACGATGTTCATTAATGGTTGGCAATGGGTCAATGCTGAAACCATCATATTTGCACAATTCACACATTCAGTCATGGTTAATGTACCTTGTAATAGAATATAACGTGGTGATGTCACACATTCATGCCAACTTAATGAAATGGAGATGGCGCAAGTGTTAGTTGGTGAGTGTAAACATAACAAAATTTGTCCAGACGNTTCATTTGCCATCATCTTCCTCCCCCTCATCGTCATCCTCCTCACCCTCATCATCATCATCTTCAGAGTCACCGTCATCCTTCCCCTGCTGACAGGGAAATATACATTTTATAATACACCATATATATCTGTATATACTATCTCAATAGTAGTAAAGTGATTATAAATACAAAACCCAAAGGGAATAAAGCAATTGATAAGAGCAGCAAGACTAAATGTCAGTTCTGAGATCTGCATTTTCTACATGTAAGCATATTCACAAGTGTACATAACACTGAATTGATACAAAATTAAAATCTCGATAGCACAAAACTAAGAGCATGATTTAATGACATTCCACACGATGTTCATTAATGGTTGGCAATGGGTCAATGCTGAAACCATCATATTTGCACAATTCACACATTCAGTCATGGTTAATGTACCTTGTAATAGAATATAACGTGGTGATGTCACACATTCATGCCAACTTAATGAAATGGAGATGGCGCAAGTGTTAGTTGGTGAGTGTAAACATAACAAAATTTGTCCAGACAACACAGTGGTTGATAAAATATTACACAGGAACTGTATGTGTAATATATATTACACATATTTCCCATCTGCCCCAAAAACACATACTACCCAATAAATGGTAGTGCACAGTACATATTACAGATATAACAAGAAACTGTCACATTCCAAAGCAATATAAAAGAAAAAATCAATAGCATTAATCAACTAATCTTATTCTAATACAAGAGTACATCAGTTACCTCATCATCAGCTTCATCCTCATCACCCTCATCTTCATCAGGTTCTTCCTGTTCCAAAATAATTGTTATTGCAATTATTGTAAGATACAAGGAACAAAATAATATTGATAGTAAAATGAATGATTCAAAACCAAGAAGCATTATTGTCTCTGAAGAGAAAAGGATATCAGAAATGAAAGTTAACTTACATTATTGAAATAAGTAAGCGGATTTGGCCATAAATCATCCTTGATTAATTCTGCAACCTGCTATTTAGAAATAAATATAACACTAAAATTTATGACTAAAATACACAAACTAAAGGAAGTCAATTATTATGATAAGAGAAAAAACAGCATGGATGCACATGGCATAATGATCAAATCCAGAAAAAATATACCTCATCATGGATGTCATCAATTTCATCTTTTTGCTCAGTGTCGTTAAACCAACTAAAGAAGCTGCATGCATTAAAATGAGAATAAGAGAACAATTGTTTATTTGTTTCATAATATGTTTACAGAAGGATTTTTGTCAATAATTTTATATAAAATCATTAATTGATAATTTATTAAACAAGAATGAAGCGTAAAAGAAAATGTTTTATTTGTTCATTTTTTGTAGTAAAAAATTGTTTGCAATCATACACTAGTAAATTGAATTCATTTCCAGATATTAACTATAGAAAAATAAAAGTCCAAACACAACTATTCTGAAAGCAATGCCCATTGACCATATGGAAAATGTTTTATAAATGAAGAAATAGAGCATAAATTATAAAAAAAAAATGCTAGTCCACAGTATTAAAATTGGTCATATATGCACTGCATTGGTAGTTGATAATCCAATGTAATGTAAATGGATCTGTGATCAGGTCAAGTATATTTCTTAGCAGATCAGACATATCTCAGTCCCCTTAAAGAGAAAGCAACCCCCGAGCGAACTCAAACAAAAAAAATACAGTTATGGTTATCGATAATACAAATAATGGAAAGCCAGAACAATTGCAAGTTAACAGAGCCTGTGCGACCATTGATTTCTTTGTTGTCAAATTTTAATTGAAAAACACTTGAATCATAGATAGGAACCAACCTGATATCAATAGGAGCCCGCTTGTTCCCTTTTTTCTCATGACTAACTCCATTGGGTATGCTCTTCATGTTTAACGATTAGGGGTTCAGAAACAAAACAAAAGCAGCATAAGTTGATAAAAGAATTCCGAAAGTTAATGTCATAATCTTACCTTGCCCTCCTTCCATTTTATGGGAGTGGCAGTGACTTTTGTTGTTCCTTCCTCAAGGAAAGTATAAGTCTTTACAAGTTTTGTATCTTCAAAATAGGGATTGGCGTTGAAATTCTGAACAAAAAATCAATTTTGGAAGGGGTTATTATTCAATTAAATGAACAGTCCCTACAAAAAAATAAACTTCTTAAACTGACTGTCTTGCAAAACATTCCATAGGTCTATAGCAAGGGAAAGAGGAAAGCATCTTACAAAGGTGATTGAGTAGCCTGATTTGACATCTTTAAAATCTTCAACCTCGAGAGAACTCAAATACTTAAATATCTACAAAATAAGGGAATCGTTAATGAATTAAAGTTACGCATTAGAAGATATCTGTAACCAAAGTAACAATAGTATTTGACGAACTTCCATGTAAAAATTAGGTCCCAAGTAATTAAAAAGAACAGAAAAGTAAACAACTTAAAGCAATCACTCAACTAGAGCTATCTGCTAATGCAAGCACAAGTCAATTTAAAGAAAGAATATTCAAAAAGCATCCAGCACCTAGGTTGCTGTGTTCTACTATTAAAAAGGCTTGTGTAACAAGCATAACTCTTTGGGAACAAAAACTAAAACAGAACAACTTACAAGGGTTTCAAATGCCATTTAAATACCATCGAATAAACAAGACCATATCACTTCATAGATGCACAGTGGTACACAAACTCAAACAAACCAAAGTAAGCCCATCCAATTTTAGAAAACTGAAAAAGAGACCAGACCTTCTGATCTTCATCGTTCAAAAGATCACCAAGAGCAGGATGACTCAAAAACTGCAAAAGGACAACAAAAAATAATAAACAAGGTATTCCCAACAACACATGTATATAAATCTAATAAAATGTGTAAAGTCAAACTCACAGCAGTTAGCCAAAAATCAGGAATTGACTTGATAATATCATTCCGCTTGTCATAAACGGGCTTCCTAATCTCATTGTACTTCTGCTCTATCTCGAGAACTTTGTCGCTGGCTTCTTCGTTGATCTAAAACAACACAGCCAACAAATAAACCAAAGCACAAACAACAGGTTAATGGATCACGTTCCAAAACCAGAAACAGATAATCAAACATAAAAGCAATCACATTTAGCGCGTGCAATTCGGAGGCTCCAAAAGCAGAGTCACATTTCCAACGTCACATAAAAACCTCAAAAAATGACGAGGGAAGAACCGTAATCCGCGATATTGGAAAAAAAAAAAAAAAAGAAGAGGAAGAAGGAAACCGAGTGGAATATTGAAGAATTGGTACCTTTTCCAGCTCGTCTTGGATCTCCTGCAACTCTCAATGGAAAGGACAAGTTCCCGTCGATTTCGTCGAGGTTCTCCCCTTCTCGGAAACCTTCAACTTCTTGGTCCTGTCGGCCACCATCTTTCTTCCTTATTTTGTTCTGGACGGCCCGAGGGTTCTTGCGTAGCTGCTTCGTAAAACCCTAGCACGGTTTAGGCAGAGCGAGACAGGGTAGTAGTGAAGTGAAGACTTAGGGTTTTGGGGTTTTATATGTGTCGTTCGTGCGCAGTGTCCGGGGTGCACCAAATAAATGAGCTACCGGATGACATCTGTCCATTTCAGGGGTAGTCGTCGTTTCTTCACCCTGAACTTGATTTGTGGGCTAGGAACTTACATTTTCTATATTTTTTTATGAGAGGGATTTTTAAAAAATATAATATTTACTATATAAATATATATCTATAAAAATATAATCAAAATTTAATAAGTTTAATTAGTATTTTTGGCTTTAAAATGGACATTAGTCTTATCTGGTAAGGACCAAAGGTTAATATTTGGAACTTTTTCTTTTAATTTTTTTCTTTATTTTTTAGCATTTCTTTTTTCATCTTTTTTTTTGGGTTTAATATGTTTTAGTCCCCTAAACTATTGATCGTTTCTGGTTTCGTCCTCTTTTCAAAGTAAATACAATTTGGTCCTCATCTTTTCGAAAGGTTCGTTTTAGTCCTCGAAAACTAACACCGTTTAAAAATTTGGTCCTCATTTAGTAACAAAATGACGACTAAAACCTCGAAAACTACACCGTTTAAAAATTTGGTCCTCATTTAGTAACAAATGACGACTAAAACCAATTCCCGAGGACTAAAACGAACGTTTTCGAAAAGATTGAAAGAGGAACAAAAACCAAAAACGGCCAATAATTTAGGAACTAAAAACATATTTAACCCTTTTTCTTTTTCTCTTACCACACCATTTCATCACTCTCTTTTTCAACCTCTTCTACACAATTTTTTTTATCTTCTTTCTCCTCCTCCCTTACACTAGCATCAACTTTGATAATGCAAACTTCACATCATTATCACATTTAAATAGGTTTATACGTAAATCTTTCTGAAATATACAAGAAAAACTTTTCTATTGATCAAGGTAATCTCATGACACACAGTCTTCAAGACGCCCGTTTTACACAAACCTAGTTGTGGACAAATTGAAGGATTATTTTTTTATTTATCAAAGGGAGTAATAAACATAGACTCTATAGACTTCCAAATCTATAATTGTTAAAGGTTTATGCAATCTTTAACACTAAGATAATTTGATAGGATTTTGAAGGATAATCCAATATTGATTTTAATCTTTTTGGAGGTCACATGACATACGAAAATATCAAGTTTTAAACCATAACAACTTTTTAAAGGATTTGAATTTAACCATTAA